GTAGGCTATACTAAACTATCAATTACCATATCAGCTATCTAAAATCAGGGTACGCGACGCACCAGGTCGCGTTGCGCAACCATACCCCATACCATTTCCCCGCTAACAATATGCTTTGTCGACGCATCCTTCCATTACATGCTATTACCAATTATTACATCATTCTACTATCAATTACGCAACGCACCACAATATCGCTTCCGTCCCTATTGTTTCCACAACATTCCCCTATGCTTATTTTGTTCGCTCTGCGGACAAACTTCAATTTCAACCTGCCGTTCTACATTTTCCGGGGCATAAGTGTTTTTCAATCAGTGATTAAGCTAGGTACCAGCTGCGATGATTTGGTAAATGCTTTTGAATTGTTTTGCATTCCTATGTCATTATCATCATAATTGTTGTTATTTATTAATTGCATTCATTTCATCTTGTTCTCCAATATCGAATTCTTTGTGATATATGCCGTCATTATTCATGGCTTTTATCAATGCTAGCTCATGTGCAATGCCAGCTGTAGTGGCTTCGAAGTTCCAAGTTGTCTTCTCCGAAGTCCCACAATGAGTCACGTGATACTTCTGGCCCTTGGAAAATTTCGACATATTGGTCCGTTCGTTATACAATTCTAATCGTCTTCCAAACCCTAGTTTCATTATTTGCAAAGTGTCTTTCAATCTCGGTGATGTCAAATTTTGTAATAACAGTGTTCAGGTTCCACGACACCATCGTTTCCACAGCCGTAGGTAGGTTTTTAATTATAACGACATCATTTTCTGCGAGCAGGTATTCCATATTGGTTGTCGACATCACTATTCCATTGGTTGACTTCTTTGCGGTTAGTATGGTTTCGTGTGCTTCCTAATCATTCAAGAGATCACTGCCGCGATTAAGGGTGCATTGCATCGCTACCGTGCACTCAGATTTTGAGACGGTACTCCTGGTCACGTTTTCATGCTCGATCAGTAGTTCTGAAATCTCTTTTCAAGCTGTCTTATAAATCATTATCATCGTGCGAAGTGAAAGTTTTGCGTAAATGCCCGAATATGTTGTCACAAACTTTTTTTTAAACTCTCATACAAACGCTTCTATAACTCGTTGCCACGATGCCGGGATAGTGCGTTGCCTGAACGTCTTGTCATCAGGCGCATGTACCCTCCAGTTACCCACAAAGGTTGTTCTTCTCTTCTTGATCCCTCCTTCCACCTCCTGGCTATTTTTGTATGCTCTTTGCTTTATCGGGATATTATCATCGGTATCAACTACTTGTCGCATTACCCCTTTGGTCATTCCTTCAGAAGTTCCTAGTATTATTTTCATCCTTACTTTATGTTCTTTTCATATGTCCCCCTTATCCTTAGTTCCCTGTTTTCCTACCTCGATCTGATCTCCACGTAGATTGGGTGGTTCTTCTATTGGTGCGGCACCCTGTTCCTTTATTAATGTTTTTTTCATTTGTTCCGGTTGACCTTCCAGTCCTTCATTTGTTCTAGTCTCCACTCAATTTTCCTTGGGCGGTATCAGTGACTTTACACATCAGGTCAACTGTTTTGCGGGGTTTGGATCATTGAGGTGACACTTAGCGCTATAATCGGATTCATCATACATTCTCTCAGTAAGATGTCTTTCCTTCCCTTCAATCTTTTTTTGGCTCTTGTATGTCGTCGGCGGTCCCTTCATTCCCACGACGTCTTGCCCATCCGTACTCACTTCTCTGATTGGTCCGCATTGCCCTTGTGATGTTTTTCCTTTCTTCTCCTCAGTTTCATCGACCTCGACTGATCTCTCTTCAATCACCAATGATGTTTCCTCAAATTGAATGGAATATGTCGCAGGGTTGAGATCTCCAATCATGCCTCATCATTGGAGTTAGAGCCACTACTCATCTTCCCTGTCACTTCTTCATCTTCTTTAAAGGATATCTACCACTCTTCTTCATCTTCTTCCGTTATTCCTTCCTTAATCGAACCTCCGTTCCATGAAGCGTTTTCATCATCCGTATAAGATCTCTCACTTCCGATCTCGTCAGTAAATACCCTTTAGAGTAATCATCATTCGGGATCGATAGCTCTTCTCACGGATGTTAACATCAACTTATTCTTTAAGCCACATTTTCTTCCGGCTCAGATTATACAGATCCTGTCTGATAGTGGCAATTATACTCTTTGATAGGATGTTATCGGTACCATGAGAGGTGGCTTCATCATGGTTGGACTCTTTCCAACCTTTCATTCCATCCGTGTCGATCCTTCGCATGGTACCTCTTAATTTCAGGCTTAACAGGTACATAATAGTTCATTTTTTTTTCATGCACCTGCCAAGTCAATTTTTGGATATGATCCCTCATTCTTGTCTCCTCATTCAATCTTCTCTCAGCATCAGCATCGACTTCGGCCTCCATAGACACTTTGAGCACTTCCACCGAGTTTGTTGTGCTTCTTACGACAGGTATGGATAATAGGTCTTTCCTTAATCTTAGCATAAGCATCCATTTGGCCGTCTCCTTAAGCTTTGGCATATTAGTTTTGATCTTTTTTTCCTAGCCCAGGCTAGGAAATAAATCGAATAGCTTAAAGCCGACATTTGGTCACACCCGATGTAGCCTGATATATAAAACAGAATTGTAGTTATAACATAAACAATGTATTTGTGTAAACGACAATCAATAATAAAGTATACCAGGCAAGGCCCTGCTAGTGTTTAAAAAAAAAAAAATAATAATTATTAATTATTAATAAAATAATACACACATTATACAAAAAAAACTCTTTCCCACTCCCCTTTCTATGCTTGAAAATTTCCTTTTTAGGAAATTTTTGAGTTGTTTACTTTTTTTTCCGTCTTCCCTTTTCCCTTCTCTCTATGTCCCTTTCCCATACCTCTTTATCTCCCCTCCCCTATCCTCTCCCTTCTCTTCTATATACTCTTTTCTTTTATACCTCTCTCTTCCTTTTTTCCCCTTTTTGCTCTTGCCGAAGCTAGGTTTTTCCCTTCTCCCTGAAGGTTTTTCTTCCTAGGCCTTTCTCTCTTTTGAAAACTCCGCCTCCATAACATCACTCCTCTGGCCAGTGGACACTTTTCTCTCAGGAACCATATAAGAAGTGGTAAGGTTTTCACAGGATATGGACTATGGAAAGTTTTCCCTCCATGGCTCCTCAAAAAAAGGACGGACGGCTTACCCCCTCCAAAAGATTAATATGGTCATCATTACCTAATCTGATGTTGTTTACTCATTGATGGTTAGACTAGATATATCTAAAAAACCGGTGTACAACTATTATTATCCGAAAGTATCCAAGGAGTTGTGCCCCACAGTATCCAGAAAGATGTGGTAGCCAATGCCAATGTAACTAACAATAAGCTAGATTAGTCTGCAGGTGTCATGCTAGTAATTGGAGAACTTAGTAGGATAATACGTGAAGACCAGTGATTCTAGTTACTCCCGCAACACGAGCTGGTGACGATAATGGAAGTTCCTCGCCTACCCCTCTGACAATATAGGTCTCATTGTACAAGATCAGATATCAATACCTTTAAGAAATCCAAAACCAAACTCCACCCATGGAACACTCCGCCACACTTGAGAAATGGGTGTACCAAATTCTTTTCATGACTTGGAGGCAAACCTATATAAAGTGGCTGCAGTACCTTCATGTGAAAAGGTAATCACAAACAAAAATTTCCCAATACTACTCCACTTGCCGAACATCAAGCCACATTTGAGAAACAAGTGTACCAGTCCTACTTATGACTTGAAGACAAACCTGTATAAAGTGGCTGCAGTGCCTTTATGTGATTAGGCATTCAAATTAATTTTTAGATAGCTAGACGCCATTTAAGGCCATAATATAGATTTTAAATATTCTTTTTTACTGTATTCCTTGAATAGTGCCAAGGAGCATAGGGGTGGCCTTTACAGATCCTGCATTTAACTTTTTCTAGCAAAGAGAGATGTATGTCATGCTTTCCACATTGTAAATCTTGTAACCCGCAAGTCTAAAATTATAATAATAAATGATAGCGCGATAGCCATTTGCTTCTTCAAAAAAAAAAAAAAAATTTTTAGTCAAGGGTATGACTGGGGTCAATCTCTATAATTACACTGCTCTTTGCAATATGGACTTAGTAGGTTTGGGAGAGTTTAAACTAGTGATAGGATTCCTCCCCTGCGGAAAGTCCCACCTGACATGTGAACACATCTCTGGGTGTTTAAATAAACGCATAGTTTGGTTATAAGTGGTTGGTGTAGCTAGTCTTATAGTAATATATGTACTAGGCAGTGTTAATCTGCAGATTAATTTGTAGAGACATAACGGGTATCCATATACCAAACCGATTTTCAATTAATTTGTAAAGACACTTTATGTCTGTCTGGATATAAATGTATTAATAAAGATCACATGCCTTGCACACGTTCCACTTTAAAAAAAAAAAAAATTTTTAGTCAAAAAAAAAAAAAACTTATTTCTGTACACAACTTTTTTTTAAAAAAATTTTTTTTTAGTAATTATCTTTTAAAATTAAAGAAACAAATATTTTTTTCACCTTTCAACTTCTCAAAATCCTTTATACATCCTTTATCTTCACTACAAGAACCTTAAGAAAACTAAAGAAGTATACTATTGCATCAGAATGAAATCTCTGACCAAAGAAAAGCAAGTTTAAAAACTTTGCTTATTCTTTGAATTGTATGAGAAAAGGCCTGTAACAGTTATTTCTTTATAAATCTTCCTTGAAATTCTTTCTATTTTTATTTCTTATTAAATAACCATATTCTTTTCTTGGAGATCTTCTTTGCAAACCAAAAAACCGAACTACAAAAATGTTTATATTGTTGATTTGGAGAACTAGCAATATATTCATTGTTTATTTCTTACTATCACCCAGCATAATTTGTTGTGCCACAAAAATCACAAAACTTTTTTTCAAAAAAATTTTCACAAAAAAACTGCAATCAGTTTACTCTTGTTAATTGATTAACATTTCAAAACCAACCAATCAAACACTACCAATTACTTAAACAAATCCATACTATCAAAATACTACCTACTGATCAATATAAACAAAACCTTTTTCAGCAATAAAAATTGAAACAAAATCACATTACCAACAAACAAACCAATTATACTATTAATAAACAAACCAATCACTGGTTATATCAACAAAACAACAATACAATCATCATAACAAATCTACTATCAAAGAAATATATCATCAACACTACTGTATACTTTGAACAGTAGCCTGGCTATTTGTGAAGGTATATATATACTATACTTCAATTAAATGAAACTACCAGTGTGGTATACTTATTCGGAACATCTTTAGCTTTACAATTAGTTTTTTTGTATTTATTTCTTTGTTTAGTATTTTATTTCTTTTTTATTTCTTATGATTTTTTTACACATAAATCTGAATAGGTATTTATAACTGCTCGATACTATTTTTGATAATATATTGATTTTTATATTTTTTTTCCTTTGCAACTTAGATAGTTTATCATAGGCAAGCTAATATTAAACTTGCTAACCAATTGGTTATGTGAGAGATGTTGTTACTTTCTTCATATATAAATTTTTCGATTTTACAATTATAATAAAGTGACGATATTTACTTACTTAAAAAAATTTTTTATAACATTTCCATCTATAGAAAATTGCTTTTTTAGGAAGCTTCTTTCTTTCAAGAAACTTTATCTAGTGAAATATGTTCTTTAGAGAGGAGATATAGACTGGAGAACTAATTTAGAGCAGTGGAGATTTCAAGGATAAAATTGATTTCTGGGTTTTAACAATAATCCATGCTAAGAGATCTAGTAACTAGTAACAATAACTTGGAACAGAGAAGACAAATAAAAAGAAAATTTTTTATGTGAAAACTATTTCTATACACAATTGCTACAAAATAATTACATTTCTTATTTTTAATTAAAAATTATCTTATTTTCAAGAGGTAGTATTTTATTTTTTTTAGAGTTTTTTATTTTTGCTAATAATAACTAGTGCTAAATTTTATATAATCTTCTGACTAGTTACTAGTCCTTATTCACAAATCTCAATACAAAAACTACAACTAGCTTACTCTCATTAAATGATATACATTATATAAAATATTAATCATATTTCATATTATTTTTATATATCAAAACAATATAATAACTTATCAGATTAGGAGAGTACGTAATCAGTACCCTATATGGGTTCCAGTAATTATAATACATAACACTTTACCAAAATAACATAATAGATATCTGGAACATACTTCAATTATCTTATTATTTATATTCCAATATAACTATATCACATAACAATAACATTACAAAACATCATATGACCAAATCTATCGAGTTATATGTGACTTGCATGGTGCTGATACCTGATAGAAACACCTAATTGCATTCAAAAACTACATTTAACAAAAGTTTCAATTTTTTTTTTCTTTTATCCAAATATTTTATAATGCTGGTAATCTTGTATCAAATATTTTTTATTTTTTATTTTTCACAACAAATAGTTTCTCAAGTTTTTTCTACTCAAGGATTTTTCAGATGATATATTTATTTAATAGGTAGTAAGCTAATATCTATAGTAATATAATTCATATTTTAATATTAATTATATAACAAGTTAAACTTTTACTTTATTAATAAAAATCATAAATAATGTTTCACTTTAACATTTAAAAAAAATTTTTTTTAACCAATTTTTTTTTAGTTTTAAAATCAAATTTTAAAATAAATTTTTTAGTTAAGTATTAAAAAAAACTTTTTATTTTATTTTTTATATTTTAAAAAATATATCTTTAAAATTTTATAGCAAATAAATAAATATTTGTTTATTTATTATAAAAATATTTGTTCAAAAACTTTTTAGACAAATTGTATATAAATATACAATATAGTGCTAAAGTTTCTAGACTAATTTTGATTTTTAATTTTATTTATAAATCAACAATTAATTAGTAAAATATAATAAAAATTTGAATATATA